AATTTTAATATATCAGATGCCTTACAAATATCATTTATATAAATAATAAATAATTTTGGACCCAGTACAGAGCCTCGTGGAACACCACAAGCAATGTCCAATCATGATGACGAATGGACACCCAGCTTCACAAATTGTTTCCTGTCACTTAAATGATTTTTCACTCAGTGCAGTACAACCCCCCTTATCCCATATCATTCCAGTTTGCATGCAGTTCTACAGGGTATGTAGAATTAAGTCAAGCTTAGTAAGATAGTTAGAAACTGGTGCTATAAAATGTATTTTGTGCATTTAAACAATTTAAATGAAGAAAATATGCTAGCTTTTGTCGCTAGCAACAAAGCGTTAATGCAAACTGTTAATAGCCTCTAACTATATCAGTGTTACAGATCACATTCAAGCTGTTAGTGATGAAAGAAACCCCAAGTAAACTGCTCAGGCTGGCATTAGTGCCCCTCTATTGTATCATTCTTTGTGAAATTTGACATGTAGTCAAATTCCACATGGGATAGTCATGGGTATGTATTCAGTGTATGTTGTATTCTTTATACTTGTGCCAAATAATTGCATATTAATTGTCTAAATTTAAAAAACTTTTGTAAAAGTCAATATATATTTATACAACACAAATTTGTTTAATGATGGACAAAAAATTATCTGATATTTTGTTATGAGCTAAATCTGACAAAATATTTTGTGTTTACACTTATGATGCAGCATGGCGTCTGAAAACTGTCCAAAGAAAGATTCGTTGTGGATCTCCAACACCATCTAATAGGTTGACAGACAGTTCTTTGGGTGGCCCAAATCTCCAAAGGACTGTGAATGTTATACACCAGCTTGATGGGGATGCTTGCAAGGAGACCATGTCTTTGCTCAACCATACTACAGACAACTCTGTGATTTTCCAGAAGATGAAGAAGACCTTTCAGCACCATCAGAGGCTTGTTAATGACCCAAGCAGAAGCATTGGCATCCTATCCACTTTTCCAAGATTCCTGGATACAAAAGAACTGGTAAGTTAGAATTTATTTTTTAAAATGGTTGGGAATTTGGAGCTAGCAGTTGTTTCAAATACAATTTTCTTTGTGTCCTCGGGATTCCCATATGCTTGTTTGCCATTCACCTAGGGACCATTTGTGATCCGAGGACACCACAAGGGTTACAGGTGAAGCAAGACTTCACTCTCCTGTTCGATGACAACACATCCTCCAGGTTGCTTCAGAAATGGAATACATTCTTCAGGGCAAATGTCATAAAAGAGGCTAAGAAGCTCACTTCAACACCAGAGTTGCTTCCTTTGGTGTTGTCAGCAGAAGGTCATCCAGAAAATCATCAAGACGATTCTACAAGTGAACTTGTTTGGGGTTTTTTTGTATATTAAATGTTAAAGCTGCATTCAGGGGCAAATATTAATTTGTTTCTGTGTTTTCTAACATTTAAATTCATACAATTAAGACTAATTAAATCTTTGTCCACTTTTCTAGTTTTGCTCTTAGAATATAATATCAAGTCAAACAAACCATTATCTGTTTTTGTTTGTATGTTCATCCTGAACTAATAATCCTATAGAGTTTTTTCTTCTTGTGAAAAGAAAAATTGATCTACTCTTTGATAACTTTCAACAATAGATCGACGACTCATAAGCAGTGGCGGAAATCCCCCCTAATATTGGTATGATCCGAGCTCAGGCACTAAGCGACTGAGCGAGGGGGCGGGGCAGCTGCTGCCTGTTGGAGAAACGGAGCCAGGCAGACAGAGGAGAGCGGAAGTTCGACCAGGTACCAAAGCAAATCATTCGTACTGTACAAATAATGTAAATATGACGGTG